TTTTTTTTTTTATTAACAATTAATTTGAATTTTTAAGAATTTATTTTTATTTTAATAATATATTTTAATATAAAATTAAAAAGAAATTCTTAATTAATTAAGTGAAAGTTAAGCATTGTCTAAAAAACATTCCACAAAAAAAATCCAAGAATAAAAGTCATAGATTTTAAAGATGGTTCATAATTTTTAGGAAATGCTTTAAAAAACAATCCTTACGGACTAGGTTTATTACGATATATAAATGATAAATTTGACTGTGGATTTGTATATGAAGGTAAATTTGTAATTATGGGTAAAATAAATTTAAATAAAGATTAAATATATAATGGATAATTAAAATCCGGTCAACCTGATGGAAAAGGAGTTATTTTTGATAATAGTAATGACTAATGGGTTTTTGGAAATTTCGAATAGGGCAAATGCAATAAAGTATATCAATAAAATTAGGGTAAATATCCTCAAGATTTAATAAATTAAATTTATGAAAATATTCATAAAAATTCGGATTGCTTTGAAAATATAAATATTGAAAGTAAAATTTTTAACGTACCTTTTGGATTTAATAATGGAGTGAAAGAAAATGATGAAATCGAATGGGAAGCTTATAAAATAGAAAAATTAAGAAAAAAAACTTTCAGTTAAAAAAAATAAAGTATTGTAACTTTTAACGTTTAAAGTTGTGTATTATAAAAAGTATTAAAAAATTGTAGTGATAATAAAAAAATTATATAAAAAAAAAAATTTAATTAAATAACTTATGATTTAAATTAAAAACTATATACTTATTATATTGATAAACCTGAAAAATAAAAAAATAAATAATAATATTAAAATAATAAAAATAATAATAATAATAATAATAATAATAATAATAATAAAGGAATTTAAAAAGAAAGATTAGAAAAAAATTTACGAAAATAAAAAGATAAATAAGGATATTTAATCTAATAATAATTTAATAAGAAAAATTCATAAGATTTATAAACATATTAAATCGAAAACGAGAATTTCCTAAATTAGCATAATTCAGATTATTAATAATTTATATAAGATTAAATAAATTAACAAGATTTAAAAGAATCACTATTTTAATAATCATTTGAAAATTAATAATAATAATAAATATAAGATTAATAATTAAATTCAGATTAGATTATATTGTAATAATAATTATCAACTTAATCTGTTTCTTAACAACCAAATACATAACAAAAATATTTTGAATAATTATAATAGCAATTACCTATTTCTTAATAGCCTTAATTATTATAATCATATTAATCATATAAATAATAAGCATATATACAATAAAAAAATACATAATAATAATATCCAAATGCAAATAATGAACATTTAGCATAAGATTTAAATACTAATAATTAAACATTAGGAGAAAAATAAAATAAAGATAATATAATACTAAATAGTCAAAATAAAAAAAATTCTATATGTAATGATTCTTTTGAAAAATTATTAAATAAAAATTAATAATCAAAAAAAAATTAAATAATAGACCATTAAACAATACTTAAAACCTAGGAAAACTCTTAACCGATTTTTGATATAAAAAATTCTCCTTAAAAAAATAAATCTGAAAATGAAGGAAATAGTAAAGACTATTATAAATAATAAGAATAATTTGAAAATAAATTGGAAAGTTAATAATAAAAATTAATTTAAAGTTAAGAAATATTCTTTTAAAATAATAATTAATAAGAAGATTTAGAACAAATAAAAAGAGTTAAAAATTAATTATTAAATGAAAGCAAAAATTAAGTTCTTCTTTAGGATTAATTAGAAGAAGAAAAAGAAAAACTAGATTTAATTAATAATAATTAAAAATAAAATCTAATAAATTTGTAAAGTTAAAGTATATAAAAGTAAGTTTAAGTTATAAATGATTAAGATTTAAATAAATAAAATACAAAAAATATTGAAAATAATTAAATATTAGAATAATTACAAAACTAAAATAATAAATAATAAAATTAACAAGAATAATAATAAATTTTAATATAGAGTTCAGATACTTAATAAAATTGTTTTAATAAAAATATTTCTAAATAAGAATCGTAATAAGTAAATCAAATAATAAATTAATATAAAAATTAATAAGAAAATAATAATATATAAGAAAATATTAATAATTAGTTAAAAAATAATAATTATTAAGAAATTAATAATATAAAAGAAGAAAGTATTTATAAATAAAATTAAAATGATTAAATTATTCATAAATAAAATTAAAATGATTCTATTGAGTTTTAGGATTAGCTCATATTACTTCAATAATAATAAATTGTAAATAAAAATATTTAAAAATCCACTTAATAATAATAGAAATTCGAATAAGACTTAAATTAGGATTATAATTAAAATAATGAATAACAATATGTTCTTTGTTAAAATTAAAATCTTTAATAAAATTAAAAAAGCCTTCAATAAAATTAATATCCTTTATAAATAGAAACTACTTAATAATTATATAAAAATCTTTAAACAGATTAAAATTTTTAATAAAGTTATAGTGCTGATTACTAATAGAATATTTAAGAAAAATAAACAGTTTAGTAATTAAAATTAAATTAAATAAAAGAAAATTATAAATAAATGAATGAAATTATTGAATAGAGTAATGATTATTATGATAGTTAAAGTTAAGAACTAGCTTAAGAAAATATAATAGATAAAAAAACTAAAATATTAAAAAGATATAAAGATATAATAAATGATTAAAATGAATTGTTATAAGTTTAAGACTTAGGAAATATAAATCAAGAAAAAAATATTATATTGAAAATTTTAAATGATTAAATAGAAAGTTAAGAATATAATATTTTTTCTGTATAAAATAAATATAATAAGCAATAGGAATTAATTGAATATTAAAATGAAATTATTAAATCTTAAGAATAGTACATTGAAAAATAATTAAATTAATCTTTTAATAATAGACTTTACAAAAGTTCACAAAAATAAAATAATAGTTAATTATTAAAACAAAGCTAAAATAATAGCTAATTATTAGAAAATATTTAAAATTTAAATAATTAATAGGAAATAGTTGAGAATTATTAGAAAATTTTAAACTAAAAAAATATAAACTCCTTTTAAGAATAAAATTCAGTTTTATTTGAAAAAATAAAATAAGTAAAAGATAAATTAATTAACGAAAGTAATATATAGAATAAAAACAATTTATCAAATGAAGAAATAATAAACTTTTAACAAAAAATTATTTAAATTTAAGACAATTTTATTTTAAAATCTAGAGTATAAAGCCGCGTAAATTCAGAAAAATCTTCTTCTTTATAAAATACTCCTAAAAATTCTAATTTGAATAGAAAAATATTTCCTTTTTATAATTAAATTTAAGTAAATACTGATATAGTATTAGAAAGTAAAGAAGAATAAAATAAATTAATCCAATAATATGAAAAAGTACTTATTGATAACAATGAAGAAAATTTATAAGAAATAAAAAAAAAAATAAGCATGATAATTGAAGAAAGTAAGAACAAAATTTTCGTTTTAGAAAATCTAAATGAAGTTGAAAAAAAAGAAATTTTGATTTAAAATGCCAGAAATAATTTATAAAATTTATAAGAAGAAATTATTAATAAATAAAATTAATTTTTAAATTAAAAAAATTAAATTTAGGAAAAAAATTCAAGTTTTAATGGAAAAAAATCTCATTTTTATGAAAATAAATAAACTAAATAAGAAAATTTGAAAAATTAAAGTTTTGAATTTAATCATAATGAAAACATTTAATTAAATAATAATAAAAACTCTTAATTTGATAATAATATATAAGACAACGTCTATAAGGTTAATAGTATGTTAGAATAATATATATAAGAAACTAAATCTAAATAATAAAATTAAACTTTATAAAAAGAACAAAATAGTGTAATTTTATTATAAGAACAATAAGCAAAAAAAACTGGAAATAATAATAATAATGATAAGTAAAAAATAGAAAGCTTTGAAAATCTAAAATATAATACTCCTAAAAATAAAAATAATATCAATATATAAGGAGGAGAATAAGAACAAATAAAGGAAATTTAAAAAACTTAAAAAGAAATAATAAATAAAGATTAATAAATAGAATTAGAGATTAAAAAAATAAAACAAAATTAAATAATTTAAAATTAATAAGAAAAAAAATAATTAATAGAATATTAAGATTAAATAATAGAAATTTAAGACTAATAAATAAACTAATAACTTTAAGTAATTTAAAAAAAAGATAATGAAAATACTCAATAAATACATAAAAATTTAAATAATGAATAAGATTTAAGACATAATTATTAATAAATATTCGATTAAAATGATGAAAATTGTTAAGAACTTAGTTCTATTATATATGAATAAATTAAAAATAAACAAATTGACAATAAAAATGATTTAAATAAAAGCGATTTTTCGAATTTATCAAAAGAAGAAATAATTTAATTATAAAATTAATTAATTAACATGTAGGATAATATTGTTTTTAAATCAAAGTTTTAAAGTAAAGCAAGCTCTATGAGATCTTCCTAACGAAATTCTCCTTTAAAAAGAAGTGTAAAAATATTTGATTTCGGTAATTAATAATAAGATTAGTATGAATAATAAAATAAATAAGAATTATATAATTAAAATGATTAATAATTGATTGATTAAGTTTAAAATTAAAGTCCTTTAATTAATTAATATAGGAATATTTTATTAAATAAAAAAGAGGAAAATTATGATTTTGAAAAAATAAATGAACATAAAAATATTTAAGAAATATAAAAAAATATAGACGAGATTAAATAAATGGAAGATAATTCATAAAATTAAGTATTATTATAAAATAATAATTAAAATTTGATACATTTTTAATAGTAATAAAATTAATTTATTAATAAATAATTAGATTTTCCTTAAAATTAAAATATTTTGTTAAAAGATTCAAGTCCTAACAGTTTATAAAAGTAATTATTAAGTTATTAAAATCATAATAATTAAGAAGATTAATAAATTAATAAATAATAAGTTATTCTTTAAATGCTTGGAAATGCATATTAGTTAAATACTAATGATTAATAATAAGATTTTATTAATTTAAAGATAGTTTTAGATAAACATTTACAAGAAAATAATTAAGAATAAGTTAAATAATTTATAGATATCTAAAATTCTATCATTCTATAATAAGAATAATAAGTATAAAATTAAAAATAGGAAAGATTAATAGAAAAATAAGGTTAATAAATATAAGAAAAATATAAACTAAAATAAGAATAATTTAATAAACTATAAATTTCATTAGAAAAATACAAAATTGAATAAGTTTAAAATAATAATAAATATTTGAATTAAATAGAATAATAATAGAATACTTAGAAAAACGAATATTAAAATTATTAAGAAAGCAAAGAAATGATATAAAAAGTAGATTAATAATAAGATTATATTTAATTTGCTAGTGATTTTAAACAAATAAATGAATTTAAAAATATAGATATAACAATAAAAAATTAAGGAAATAAAAATAATAATAATAATTAAGAAAAGCAAATAATCAATAATTTTTAAAAATAAATAATTTAAATTTAAGAATCTTATATATCAAAATAGAATAATAGTCATATAGAAAACTAATCTTAATAAAATAATACTTATATAGAAAATAAATCTTAAGAATAATCAATAAAAAAATAAAATAATAATAATAATTAATTAGTTGATTATTATTAAGAAATTATATAAAATTAATCAAATAATAATGAAAAAACTTTATAAGAGGAACTTAAATATAAATAAAATAAAATCATATAATAATAACTAAATTAAAATAACATAGTACCAAAATAAGAAATGATAAATATTTAAAGTAAAACTATTGAAACATATGATGATTTTATTAGTTAATAAATAAATTAAAGTAATGTTTTATCTATGTAATCATCTTAATAATATTTTCCTAATAATACAAAAATATAACCTTTTTATAATTAATTTATTGATTGTTAAGATTAGAATTAAAAAATAAAAGAAAAAATTAAAATTGAAAATGAAAATTTAACTTAATTATTGTAATTTTACGATTAAGCTTTTGAAAAAAATGAAAAGATTGATTTTTTTTAATTAAAAGAATAAAAAAATACTATAATAGAAGAAAATAAAAATAATATTTTCATATTAGAATAAGTAAATAATCTAGAAAATAATGAAACACTGAATTTTACAAGAAAAAATTTAATTAATTTCTAAAGTTAAATTATATAAAAATAGAAAGTTTTTTTGGATTAAAAATAAAAAGAAGAATTTTTTTTTTCCGAAAAAAATTAAAAACAGGATGAATTTTTTAATTAAAAATAAAATGAATTTCCAATATAAAAACAACAATATGAATATTTAAATGTTTAGTTTGTAGATTTAGCACTTAATTAATTAAAAAAAAAATTTATTGATTAAAATTAACAATAATAATAATAATAATAATAATAAGAGGATAATGAAATTAATTTTAATATTTAAAAAAATAAATAACATATTATTTTAGAAATGTTTAAATAAGCAATTTCATAAAAAGAAATAATTAATTTAAATGAAGAACAAAATAATTAGGAAGATATTTAAAAAATTAATTTGATTTTATAATAATATATATAAGAATAAAATTAATCATTAGAGAATTCAAAACTAAACGAAACATAATAAAAGGACTTTATATAGTTTTAAGATTAAATAATTTTAATCTAAGAATAATTAATAGAAAAATAAAAAAAATAGGATCAAAAATAAGAGCTTTCCTTATAAAAACTATAATAAAACCAAATTACTAATTAGAATAAATTTATAAATGAAATAATATAAAATTCACCAAATAAATTTATATAAGCAATTTCTATAAATGAAACCTTTAAAAATAATTAAAAAGAAGAATTAATTTAAAAATAAGAAAAAAAATATATTATATAGGAAATTATAGTAGAAAATAAATAAAGTATTTTAGAAAAATACGAAAATATAATCAATAATTAATAAGAAGAATTAAGCATATTTGAATTGGGAAAATAATTAAAATAAATAAATGAAGCTAAAAACCTAGCTATTTAAATGTAAATGGAATAAATAAGTAATTCTAGAAAATAAACATAAAATATTATAGGTTCAAATTAAATATAGGAATAATAAAAAGACAATTTAATTTAATATTAATAAAAAATCATTTAAATTTAAGAAAATTTCATATCTTAATAAAAAAGATTTGATTAAATTTAAAAACTAGATGAAAATAACTAATAATAAATAGGAATTTAAAATTTATTAAAAATAAAAGACGGAAATTAATTAATTAATTATTATTAAGAAATTTTCTAAACTCAAAATATTAATGAATGTAATAAATAAGAGTTAAGTTTAATTTTATATGAATAAATTAAATAAAATAAAAATAAAATTGTATTTAATGACTAGAATTCATAAATTGAAAATAATGAAACAAACTCTGATATATCTAAAGATGATATTATTAGAATTCATAATTAAATTATTGAAATATAGGATAAATATATTGTAAAGTCTAAAATTTAAAGCAAGGCAAGTTCTATTAAATCTTCTTAGTAAAATACTCCCAAAAATAAATTAAATGAATATAAAATTTCCTAATTTTTTTAATTTTTAATAAAATGATAATAAGTAATAATTAAATAGTTATAGTGAGAAATAATTAGATTTCTATGATAAAATAAAATAGAATTCTAAAGAAAAATAAAATAATGATACTCAATAATAATTTAGAGAATAATAATAATAATAATATAATTTACATTTCTATTAATAATAAAAATAATTCGAATTATAAAATTAGTAATAATAATAATAATAGAATCTATTGTAAAACAATAAAGGATAATTGTATTAATAAGAAATTTAAGAATATAAATAAATATAGGATGGTTATTATAATCAATATATAAATGAAAACAAAAACGAATTATAAAGTATTGATAATTTAAAAGAAAAGTAATAATAAATTCAAACAATATAATCATTAGATAATTTATAAAATAAATAATTAATAAAATTAAATAAACATATATAACAAATAAATCAATAAAATACAAAAGAAGAAAATAATGATATAAAAAATTTAAATAAAATTAATAATATAGAACTTAGTAATATATAAAATCAAATAATTTAAGAAAAATAAAAGATAATTTTAAATTCTGATCAAATAATAAATGAACATAATAAAGATAATGATAATAATGAAGATAATTTCGAATTAGAGAAAAATATAAATTAAATAAACGAAGCTAAAAATTAGGCAATTGAAATATAAATGGAATAAATATTAAATCCTTAATAATCTACATAAAATTCATCATTAAATTAAATTAAGAAAAAAGATGATTTAGTTAAATATTAAAAATAAATAATT